AATGGAGCCACCATTAAGACACCATCATCAGATCTTGCTGCGTGAAGGCAATGTAGACAAACAGAGTCATTAAAAAAGGATATTTTGGAAACAGACGCAGTCCTCTATTATTTAAGAAAAAGCCTAGTAAAGAAAGCCTTATTAATAGTACAGGAATACTCTTTCTACGTCAATCTTTTGATATTTGAAAAAAAACCAATCATTTTTGTAAATTGCAAACTGTAAGTTGAAAGTGCAAACATTATATACATTATAACATAATTTGTTTGGCTAATTATCTAAAATGTATGAATATTGCCTTTTTTGTTTCTCTTCAGATTACTATTAAATATTGTATGTAAATTTACTCATAGAAAATATTTCTAAGACTAAATTGATTTAGCTGAAATAAGCTGAATTTTGTTAACTACTTTATTGTTATTTATTTGCCTGATAATGTATAAACCGATAAATAATTAGGGAAGTCCTTAATGTTGTTATAATTATAGCATAGGTTCCAAAAAAAAAAAAAAAAAAAAAAAAAAAAATAATTTTGTATTCATTTCTATTATGTATTTGACAATTGCTGAAAAATTATTGTGCTGTGTTAGCTTATAACAATTATACAGACACTTGTATAGGATAAATTAAAATTGTAAGTTAATAAAATATTACAACAAGATAAGGTTAAAATAGAAATGAATAGCAATGACAATTTAATGGGCGTTATGGCCGGATGCCTTTACATATATTGTTTAAATATTTTGTTACTCATCTTGAATCCAGTCCCTCATATATTATTATTTATTTCACAAAGAAAATTAAGCAATTAAAACAACAACAGCTTATACGTCTTTGGGTTATTTTAACATTATTGTAAATTAATCATTAGCATATGAAGTGTTGCGTATCATTTTAAAAAAATATCCACTGATTTTTAAAAAAAAAATTTTTTATATTTTAAAATTTATATTTCATTAGATGAAAACCATAAAAAATATCTGCTCTTTGACTTATGTAGTTGATCTGCCTGTTCTTGTCTGATTCAGTTATAACGCACGTTAACGTCAATGTGTTTTGGAGAGAGTTTCTGTAAACCAATAAAAAATGCAAGAAATGTCGACCATTTAACAATGAGACGTTTCATTTTAGAATCAAGAACATATAGTTAATTCTGTATATTTTTTTAAATAACTCAGAACTAGAGAGAAACTTCTAGGAAATTACATTAAAAAAGCCATGTGCTTCAATTAGACAGGGGGGGGGGGGGGAAGGGGGGGGGTAAAAAAAATTTTTTTTTTTTTTTTTAAATGGTGGGACAAGGCGGATTTTTTTGTATGCACAGGCAGAACGTTAACTATTCTGGTAAGTATATGACGATTAGATATATAAACATATAGACATTTACATTGGCCAAATTGGACATTACATAAAATTCAAAAGAACAAGAAATATGAAAGAACAGCAGTGGCGTAGCTAGGGGGATTGTCACCCGATGCGGTAAACTCATGGTGTCACCCAAGCCTCCAGAATTTCACAATGAGCGTAGCAATGACCTAAAAAACCGACACATTAATTAAAGGTCGGGGAGGTAAATGATTTAAGAGCTAAGAACTGTGTCAACGTTACGTTATAGTTATTTTTAAATTGAATTTAATTAATTAATTTTTTTTTCCTTTCCTAGTCTTTAAAGAAGCTAACCTGTAAATCACTGGCACAAAATTAATATCCTTCATATCAATTTCAATTGATTGGTAGATCCAGATCTGAATATCTTGACTGTCCTATGGTGGATGGACAATTGTTCTTGATAAGCCTTAGTTTTGAAAATGTCCGCTCACATGAAGCCACAGACAAACACATTGTAAGAAACAGTTGAATTCTTACTTACTGTGTCAATATAGAGACATTAATCTCTCATTTTATTATATGATTCCTTCAAAAACAAGCAAAACAACAGGCGATATCATATGTTAAATACAATCATAAAAATACGATAATCAAACCAGGGCTAAGTACAATTAATCAGTTTTATTAAGTTAATTATACATTAAAAAATAATAATTAAATTAAATTAAAGGTATTAAATTACAGAATAACGATTGACATGTACCAGTAAAATTTTTAGGAAAATACAATGTGCAAAAAGGTAAATCGATGAAAATAATTCTACGCACACACACAGTAGACAAAACTCTCGTCTCGTAACAAAGATAGCACACACTTACTTTAGATCTCGTTATATGTGCTAGCCCAAAAAATACGTCGTGTGTCTCCTTATATATTCTGGTTTGCTGATATTTTCTAGAAGGGCCTTACGCATTATTTTCCTTTAAAGTTTTCTCCAAAGTAGTCTACAGAATTCGAAGGCTACAGACTAATAATTTAATTTAGTACTAAACAAGTTCAAGGGAGACTATTTTTAGCTAGCCACACCCTAGATGCGGTTCCAAGTTTGACGTCAACTATATTTCATTCACGGGGAAAGACGACGTCGTCCACGAAACATGAATGTTTAGCGAGAGTGTTGTATTGAAAGGGATTCTAGGAAGTCCCCCTTCAGTTATGAATTTCAAAACAACGAATGCTGACCTGCCCATGACTTTGTAAAATTAAATATTAGACAGCTTTTGGTGTCTTCGAGGCTTGGTTTTTTTTTTTAAAGTTCATCTTCTGATAATTCATCATAGAAAGGGGTTAATTTTGTAGCCGACATCAATAACCCTTTTTCACTTGCTGATAGTAGACTCTTGGGTTTGAACAGCCCCAAACACATCTCCTACTAACTTGATCGCTGATGATCAGGTTTGGAGTTCAGAATTAAAGCTGTCAATACATTACAGAATCGTTTTTCTCATTTCTTCCCGCAGAGTGAGGCTAGCATCTATTAATCGTTATCCTGCCCTTCTCTTCTTAAACCTTAATCGTTTTTCTACTAAAATTCCCTACTAGTTCGTTTTTTTTAAAGTTTCGTCTCAGTAGCACATTCCGCCAGATGACAGCGCTTGCAGGGCAGCAATAATCTTAAGGCCTCTAGGCTGGTCATCCATTTTTCAAAAGTAAAGCCTTTAGTCTGCAGATACTACGGTGTACAATAAACTTCATCAAGTAGATCAGCGCAAATGAAAAGGTATCAGATAATCGTGAAATTTTAGAAAGCATGTAAAAGATCTTTTGCTACACCTCTTGTATCCAAATTTTCAGGTGGATTACACAGAGCTTCAACCGCCACCACACATTGATCAAACTTATCTTTCACTATTTCAAGAGCTTCATGATGAGGACTCCGACGTGTTATTGACACTCTTTTTGCAGAAATTCCATTGCGTTCAATAAGAAGCTCCCAGGGATGAGTGGATGATGCAAAGAAGGAAAATTTTCTATCAAGAGTACCGAAAAATGTATTACATAAAGCATTTTCGACAAAAGAGTGTTGACCACACAATTAAAGCTAATGGTCCACACTTCCATTGAAAATCGATTTCTTGGTATTTCTTTTAAGAATGGTTTGAACACCTCCATTGTTGCAGCCTTATCGTAACCTTGAACCTTGCACATCATTACGTCTAGTCTCTCACGTTTTAGATTTGTAAAATGTCAGAAGTCAGGTCATCAAAAGTTTCCCATTAAAGTGAAAAATCCAAAACGCTTCCGACACTGAACTTTTTCCATTGTGGATTTTCACATATCTGATCCCTTCAGCTAACTAGTTAGTGTGTGATTATATCTGATTTAGTGTTCAACATAGTTCCAAAATACATCGCAGTATTATATACATGACAAGATTCTCCTTCACTTGATTTTCAAGGATACTTATCAAATAAGATTTGGGTTTCTGGTGAGAAGGTAAGATGCTGAAGCTTTTAATTTATAGTACTCCTCTTAAGGCTCATTATGAGCTCTGTTAGAACTGGGTCATATTTAGATATCATCTTAACCATTTCAAGAAAGATTCCTCCTTTCAATGAATATTCCCCTTTGTTGTGGCCACGAAATGCCAGATTTTGCTTTGAAAGAAACGGTTTAATATCCATCAACTTGTGCAGGACATCCATCCAATTTTGCTTCACTCTGTCCGTTAAGCAATACATTGGGCACCAAGTGTTTTGTATAATAATAATAATAATAAGTGGTCTTATATAGCACGGTACCCCAGCCTAGGGCTGGGCTCACATCGCTGTACATACAAATTTAATCGAAAGAGACATAATCATGACATAAAAATAAAATACATTTATGAAATAAAGAACAAAAAAAAATATATATTCACCCACCCAACACATAACTTTTACAAGGCAATCCATGCACGACAGCCAGCAAGATCGTTTATCGGCCAGAGGAGGGGAATCACTCAGGGTAGTATAATTTAAAAATATGTGTTTTAAGTGCAGTTTTGAAGGCCTAAGTCCTGTTGCCAAGTTTTTCCTTTATTTTTAATTCACAATGGGGCTCTTCCGATGTCTCATGATTTTGTAATTTTGGGATCATTTTCATTTTCTTCGGTTTTCCTTTCCATGAAACTCGGTTAGACCAAGCAGTATGTGCTCTGTAAATAACTATGCAATTTTTCAATTTTGTGTCACCCCCCTAAGATGGTGTCCTGATACGGTCCAAACCCCCCACATTTTCCTCGCGACGCCTCTGAAGAACAATAATTCATACTGTGCAGAAATGGTGCAATATTTATTTTCTGCCCTTGGACTGAATAAGCTTCAGTGCCTGAAAAGACTAATGGCTAAAGCAGGAAACAGTAGCAAAAAAAACAGAACCCTAATGGCCCAGATAAATGTATCAATGGTATGAAATCCAATTATAAAATAATCGCAACTTATTATGTAGTATTGGCCAGTTGTCAGTCTTGGAACTTTAGATCATAAGCCAAAAAGGTAAACTCCTTTATAAAAATGTTTACTGGCTAAGCTGTACTCCAGACGCAGTGTGTGTGTCCAATATTAATAATTACTTTACTTTATTTTCAGATTTCTACTGATTCTTTTTCGGAAATTCTAAAGAGTATGGAACCTAGTCTTGATGCCTCCAAGATTTTCGTTAAACATCTCATTAAAGTACTAAAAACCAACGAAAAACTCAAAAAAACTGGAGCAGGTTTGGAACCAAAATATTAATTTATTTAATCTAAGATTACCACTACTGTAAAATCATTAATGTGTTATTGTTTGTATGATGTAGACATATTAAATGTTTGCATTTGTTTTTTGTTTTTTAAAATTAGTTATTGATTAAATTTAAAAATTTGACTACATTTGAAATAATTGTACTTAAAATGTACCTTTAAGAAATTTATCTGTAGGCATATTCCAGCAAACAGCAATAGGAGCAATCGGCATGATTCTAGGAGGTGTCGTAGGCGGTCAACGTGGTGTTGCTTTCGGTGGAATTTTAGGTATATCATATCTTTCAATATCCATTTTCTTTTTTAAAGGCAAATAATTTAATAAAATGTATCATAACATTGTTAGAATATTTTATTCCTACTTCCAATTTTCGTATATATCACAAAAAATATTTACTTAATTTATTTTTTTGTATCTCCTTACTGAGGCATTTTTCTTGGTTACGCAATAAGTGATGATTACCCATCACTGATTGATGTCATAAAGCGTCTAACAGATGAAGAGAAAAAAGAGCTATGGATGAAGTGTCGGGAACATTTTGGTGTTGCAACAAGAGAAACTCTGAACACAGTGATAGACACCGAAGAGAAGAAGGTTGCTTTTCTAAAATTTCTGAAACGTACCGTAAAGGAAGTTAAACGAACTTGAAGAGGATGCAGCAAAATAATTAACTAGTCGACAAGACGCCTCTGTTAGCAAACTCTAAAAACAAAGTGTCAAATAAAAATAAAAAACAAAAAACAAAAAACAAAAACAAAAAAAACACTAGATGAAATGTAGCTTCCCAAATTTAGTATTCCCCTGATTAATTTTCTTAACTTACAGAAATCTTCAACATAAAGTTTTTCCAAGAAAGCATAATGTTTGACGTCTTAAAAAAAAAAAACTGTGTGCAAACTAATTCCAAAAACATTTAATATAATTTTTAAGAATGGTGTTTAGATTATTTAAATCTTACTTATATTAATCAATGGCCAAGTTAACATTACATCACTGATATACCAACTAATTATCATTACATAGTGTTTAATATCGATAGGATAACATAATATGATTACTGTGTTATATTTCGTTGTTTATTATGGTGTCATCACGTTCAGTTCCAATTAAATTGGTTTTTCAGCACTCTGTATCCCGTGACTGTAAAATATAAAACAATTGTCACCTTATTTATACAAAAAAAACTTTTTCAATACTTATAAATATTTATTGAAACATTTTCCCAATGCGGTGAGCTTCCAGAATGTTTAGATATTCACCGAAACGAATTTGGATCTGAAAATGAACTTTGTCTACACGGCTCTCTTTCAACTTTAAAATAATGATATTTATCACGTCACTCAACAATTGAAAATCTTTTCTAACTTCAGAAGCATACATTAAACTCATATAAAAAAAAACAACTTAGCTTTGCTTTGTCACAGTTTCTAAATAATTGTTTTTCTTTTGTGATGATACAACATAAATCAAGTTACTATTATCTATTCAATTTAAAATACCTGTATCGCCCTTGAATCCTGTAAATGCCTTAATTACTTTTTTTGTTTAAACTCATGTATATTTATGTAATGGAAATTGATCTGAAGGTTAATATGAACATTTCATTGAAAAACGTATGATTCGTGTTAAAGATTTGTATGTTACGCAAAATATTTTGTCCGTGATTTATTTCTTGAGTGCCGATCCACAAGTTCAACCACCATGGTTTTCAGAACGCATTTAACATTTTAAATTTTTTGGCAATAGGGATTATGCTTTAATACCGAGATATTTGCTAACTTCATCTACCCATGTCATTTCTAACTACTTTGGTTTTATTGTTTGTATATTTCATAGTATAGAGTTTTGGTTCACTAAAATATGCTTTTGAATATCAGCGAAATTTAACTAAACTTTGGCCACACCAACTTGTACCGACACACCCAGTTAGAGTGAGCACACGGGCCTGAATTTTAGAATTATTTTCCAAATATTAACCACCTAGATGTATCATATCTACCTAGTACTGGTGTTGATAACATGTTTTGTTCATACTTGGGGATATTTATACGTTTTCCTCTTATTCATGCTTCTTTTCAAATTTGAAAAAAAATATTTGTAAATCGTTTTGAAAATAATTTGACCTCTCAAATGTTGAAACATAAATATGAACATTATATCAAAATGTTTTATGCAGTTGATTTCCATTACATTTCTAACACACACACATGTATAATATCATAATCATAAGTATGTAAGCACACAAAAATTATAGACGCCCTTTTGCCTTACATTATCAATTGGTAAATCTATACCAAAACTGTATCATATATATATATACATATCTATAGATATATATATATTTATTTATATATAGATATAGATATATAGATATAGATATATAGATATAGAGATATATAGATATATAAATATAAAGATATATATATATATTAAAAAATTACATCACACCGCATTTAATTCTTAATGTAGAAGTAAATAAACAGCCCTTCCCAAACGAGCATATCATGAAATAATTAAAACTCAGTAGGACTGGAATTGTTTGCTTGTAAATGGGAGGATCCGTCAAACACACACAAAATAAAACAACATAAAATCACCTAAACAATGTATAGGAACCAAATGTAACATCAAAATCACCATATGCTCCAACTTCAAGAAAACGTATTTCGTAATGATTTTATTATTTCTGATCAGAAATGTAAATTTGAAATAGACTTTCACTATTTATTTTTTATTCTGGGACTTTAAAAAAACTGTATAACCTGCAGCTCATCGTCTTATGAACCCCAAGCTCAAGCTACACACACAACCCAAATGACGCCCAAAGGGATAGGAGAACCCTAAACGTCTAAATACCACAAAGGTGAAAAAGCCGCAACATAAAAAATCTTTTGTGGACACTTTGGAAAAGCTTATTGAGTCCACACTATTGGAAAATGACCACGTTGAACAAACTGGGCATCACTTATATCGATTTAGTACAACACTGCCTTGGAATTTTCCGGGTCAAAGCTCGAAACAAACATCAGGACTGGTTTGATGATAACTATGACTTAATCAAGCAACTGCGTCTCTACCACGCCTCGCTAAACAACCCGAGGTCACTCCCAATGAAAGTTGCGTAACACAGTATGAGTAGAACGATGCAGCAGAATGTGCGTCTCATGCAGAATAAATGGTTTGAGCGACAAGGCCGATGAGATCCAAGGCTATGCTGACCGACGTGAACTAAATTTTTTTTCACTTCACTCTGAAAACATTCTACGGCCGCAAATCATAAGGATCATCCCCACTTTTGAGTACTGATGAGAAATCTCTGAGAAGAAAAAAAATTATTGCACGCTGTGCTGAACATTTTGACATCCTGAATCGACATTCATCCATCAATGATGAAGCCACACATCGTCTCATGCAGGTGCCGTTATGCCTTCTCTCAAGCAGCAAATCACCATATGATGACTCAATCCCGTCTGAAGAATACAAAGAAGTGGGGACAGCTCTGTCTGAAAGGCTTCACCAGCTGTTCATACATTTCTGGAAGCAAGAGACCACTCCACAGGACTTCAAAGATGCATCATTGTTCACCTTTACAAGCGTAAAGGGAACTTCAATCATGCAATGACCACCATGACATATCACTGCTCTCAATTCAGGCAAGATAATAGCCAGCATCTTGGTAATCGTTTTAACAGGCATCTTGAGAATGGTCTACTGAGAGAAAGTCAATGTGGCTTCAAAAAGGAACGAGGAACCATCGATATGGTGTTTGAGCCAGACAGCTACAGGAAAAAATCAGGGCACAAAATGTTGACCCCTTCTCTACTATATAGACCTGACCAAAGCTTTCGAGACTGTCAGTAGAAAGGGCCTTTGGAGAATCATGGCCAAATGTAGATGCCACAAGAAGTTCGTGTCAATGGTGTGACTATTCCATGATGGTTTGCAGTCTACGGGATAATGGAGAAACGTCTAAACCTTGTAACAAACGGGGTGAAACAAGGATGTGTATACTTGCCCCAACACTTGACAGCATCATGTTTTCCGCAATGCTGACCGTTGCCTCCAGAGAGTGAGACGCTTGAATTGGCTTCAGATGCGATACTGACGATAATCTATTCAACACGAAGAGGCTGCATGCCAGAACAAAGGTCCTGACCGACACCATCAGTGACCTCCTGTATGCAGACGAATGTGCCCTAACCGCTGTTTTAAATTCAAAGCTGCGTCAAAAACGTTTCTAATGCTTGCATCAACTTCTGGCTCACGATTAACACAAAAAAGACTGAAGTCCTATACCAACAAACCCTCCGAAGACATTATGTTGACCCTAAATCCAAATAAATAAATAAAATTTTAGCTTTTATTATCTCGGCAGCACACTATCCCAATGCTTAACCATTGATGGAGAGGTTAGCCTCCGTATTGCGAGAACCAATATATCTTGTGTAAGAATGTAAGTATCAGCTATCAAACTTAGCTGAAAGTATAGAAGGCGGCTGTTCTCCCTACGCTTCTCTATGCCTGTGAAACGTGGACGGTCTACCAACGCCATTCAAGAATGCTGAACAACTTTCACGTAACAAGCCATAGAAAAATCCTTAAATTTAAATGGCAGGACAGAGTCCCAGACACTGAGGTGCTCACACACAGCATCTTTAACATCTTAATGAAGTCCCAGCTTCACTGGGCGGGACATGTTGTGAGAATGTCAAGCGACATTCTGCCCAAAGAATTTTGTATGGTGAGCTGGAACAAGGAAAGTGGTCTGCTGGCGAGCAGAAGAAACGTTTTAAAGTAAAGACTACCTGAAAGCCTCACTAAAAGCGTTCGACATAAACCCAGACATGTGGGAGGAAAAAGCAAAGGATCGAACATCATTGCGTTCCACTTTAGAAACGAGCTCCATGCAACATGAAGTTGGCAGAGCAGCGGCGGCAGAGTAGAAGAGACATGCCAGGAAGGTCCGGTCTGATCTGCTCCCAACACCCAGAGATGCACCATCATTTCCTTGAATCTACCGCACAAGAAAATTTCGGCCTCATTAGCCATCTGAGCATTCAAGGACAGAACTTGCGAAAATCTGATGTTTAAAAGTGGTCATGGTCGACTCCCGACTGAAGAACGACAAAATGAATAATTATATAGCCCTAGGCAACAAAGCTATTGAACTGTTAATCCATTTCGTAACAGTCTTGAACAATATAAACCCCTGCGTTTTATTATTTTGATATCTCATGAACAACTTTGCAAATGTCTGCCAACGATTTTAATAATCTAAGTTTTTTTTAAAATGTTTTATATTTGTAAAATGTAACTCTTGAAGTAAATATTAACATCACATATTCGATCAGTTTCTTATTCTGTAAATTCGTCTTGAAATCATTCTCTCAGCTCTTTATTATAAGCTAATTGGCAAATTCATTTACTCCATTCTCAAAGTGTATACATTCAGATTTAAATCATTTTTGTATCGATTTTTAAATAGTCAAAATAACTCGGATTTTTTTTGGATATTTTCATTTCTATTAAATGAAGTTGAGCGCAATTATTTATTTAGTCTGAGTGCTAGTGGGGACCGGAGCCTTTGGGTAAATTTTAATTTACCTGCCCGTTTACAGTAAATACTTTAAACGATAGTATATTAAGAAACGTCATAGTCATACTGTATCTTACTGGTCATAATTACGCGACACGCTTTCCGTGTTACATTTGCTTATCTTCCGAACTAATTTGTTTAAAAGCAGAGTTGCGCATTGCGTTTGCCAATCAGATGGTTGACAAAGACCGAGTCAGATAAACACAACGCTGAACGAGCTTTACGTTCCTATAACTAAAACAGACTGCATAATGTAAAATTAATTTTCATACTTTCATGTTGATGTTCATTAAAATTAAATGGAAAATAAATTGGAACAGCGTTCAGTAAAAGCCAGATTTAATGTGACGTATCGCGACCCAAATCGTTGTTTGGCAATGTAACTCTGGAAACGCGAGAAAAATAAACGTGTGTTAGGAACGTACAATTCTCCCCTTTGATCCACAGTATCAATAAGAGAATGGCATAACATTTTTTGAAAGAGTTTTTTAGAGACGAAATAATTTATTGTAATACTACAGGATTTTAATCCCCTGGGGAAAAGAACTCAAGCAAATTAGCTGATAATTAAAAGACGCCCAATCTTTTACTTTTAGAGAAAAATCCTATCCTTTCTTTCGTATTGGAAAACGTTTGAATAGGTTCTTTGTAGTCATGGGCTGTGACAATGTCACGTTAAACTGACAGTGTTGGCTACAATTCAATGAAACCGTAGACAGTGATGATCAAAATCAAGTTTTTATCAATTTCAATTTAGAAAAACTTCGATCTGCACTTGCTGTGGTAACCAGAACTGTTAACATTATTTTGAACACTAATCTCAGCACAAGGAATCGAATTTGCCTGTGGTGAAAGAAATTTAATCTGCAAAGTGACACAAGGGAACCGAATCTGCCAGTTGAACAAAGAAAAGTATCTCTCAGTGGCACACAAGAAATCGAATCTGCCCAAGGAATGTCTTTGATGCGTTTTCCTCTGGGATTTCGGCGCTGCACCCTTTTCATTCCTGTGCATTCTTTCTAAGTATTTCGCAAAGCGCAGCCTGTCTTTAAAAAAAAAAAATTCTGCTACTAATGGAGGATCATGGCAGTGGCCTAGTTGGGTTGAATGCAACCCCTTGGTGGGGCAAACTATTTGCCACAACTTGGTTGGGCGAACTATTTGCCACCCCTTTTAACAACCATTTTTTTTTAAAAATACTGCCCCCACAATAAAGATAATAATTACTGTCTAACTGATGTTATCTCTTTTGCAGTGGCAGTCATTGCTGGGGCAAATCTGTCTTCTTTATAATTGTTGGAGAAACGTATTAGTTTCTGGACATTTGTAATGTTTACATCAAGTTGATCAATTCTAATATAAAGGAGATCTCACCACTTGAAATCTTGAACGATCGCACTTTATCGAAAAGAAGGGTTATGTAATATCCAGCCGCAGTTTGAAAAGAGTTATACTAAAGCAGGAGTGTAACAAGATCGAAGTGTAACAAGAGCAACGTGCCACTAGAACAGAGTGTAACTATAGCATGGTGAAACTAGAACAGAGTGTAACTATAGCATGGTGAAACTAGAACAGAGTGTAACTATAGCATGGTGAAACTAGAACAGAGTGTAACTATAGCATGGTGAAACTAGAAAAGAGTGTAACTATAGCATGGTGAAACTAGAACAGAGTGTAACTATAGCATGGTGAAACTAGAACAGAGTGTAACTATAGCATGGTGAAACTAGAACAGAGTGTAACTATAGCATGGTGAAACTAGAACAGAGTGTAACTATAGCATGGTGAAACTAGAACAGAGTGTAACTATAGCATGGTGAAACTAGAACAGAGTGTAACTATAGCATGGTGAAACTAGAACAGAGTGTAACTATAGCATGGTGAAACTAGAACAGAGTGTAACTATAGCATGGTGAAACTAGAACAGAGTGTAACTATAGCATGGTGAAACTAGAAAAGAGTGTAACTATAGCATGGTGAAACTAGAACAGAGTGTAACTATAGCATGGTGAAACTAGAACAGAGTGTAACTATAGCATGGTGAAACTAGAACAGAGTGTAACTATAGCATGGTGAAACTAGAACAGAGTGTAACTATAGCATGGTGAAACTAGAACAGAGTGTAACTATAGCATGGTGAAACTAGAACAGAGTGTAACTATAGCATGGTGCCACTAGAAAAGAGTGCTACTGATTTTTTAAAATACTTTAAATAACGATCAATGGGGTATAAAAAAAATCAAACCTCTTTCCTTACCTGCCTGTCTATTAGTAGGGCTATATTTGCTTATTACTATCTTTGCGTCGCTCAAATCAGATCGACTGTCCTCGAATCCCAAACGTCTGTGTCGCGAAGTGTTGTATAATTTTATGTAACTGTTTTTAATGTCAGGTTACGTTGTTTTTTTTTCTTTTTGATAATTGTTATGTCAAGCGCGGTGAGCTAGGCCCCTAGAGTGGGGTACCACGCTATATAAAACCACTTCTATAATAGCTATAACATAATAACCTTATGCGATTTTCCACCTCTGGAGGTGTTGATCAAGGAATGCAAACAACAAATTAACCAATCCCTGCTGTCACAGATATGAATAATACAAACAATGAGAGATAAACTATATGGTAAATATTTCTTATATAATATATATATATGATGGGACTTTGGGAGAAACTTGTCAATCAGAGAAAATGGGTTGTAGACTGGAGGTTTGTTTTGAGATGATTAATCAAAGAGACCCTTGATGTTGTAAGGAAGAATTATATTGTGTTACTTGTATCAAGTAAAGAAGATTATGTTATCCAGAAGTTAGTAAATGAAATTCCTGTGATATAATTTACAAGTAGATGAGAGTTTTATGAAATGTGTTTCCATTTGGGAATAGGGATCATGAAATATCAGTCAACATTTGAACCAGATCGCCTCTAGTATAATTTACAACGAAATTGTGCAGTGACACGGCCCCCTTTAGATCCTGACCATGAGGAACATCAGCTGTAAACACTAAAATTGTCATGTGATATATGGAAAGGAAGAATCCACGCCATAGCGACATAATGACATATAAAGGAAGAATCCACGCCATATAGAAATAATGACATACAAAGGAAGAATCCACGCCATATCGAAATAATGGCGTACAAAGAAAGAATCCAAGCAATATCAAGATGTCATAATCCTTAAGTTTATCCCCATTAACATCCCTCTTCACAAAACCAAAGTAATTTGTGGCCGCCTGAAAGACAATTTATGTCTACAGCACTGCCCCGCGCTCCTGTCATTTGGGACACTATTGACTATTGCACTTTGACTTTGTAAGAGAGGCTTCAACAGTCATGGTTTAAAAGAGATGATTGATTCAATAATACAAGATTTGAAATTGATTAACCACTCTAAACACAACTTGATCATCTTGATTGAAAGGGGTAGCACGTCTTCTAGGTTGACAGTTGTCTACACAAATATTTATATATTTTTTTTTGGGATGACAGCAACGATTACAAAGTTGATCCATTGTAAGTGTACTTACCAGCACTTATCATTTAAAATGGATGTTGTAACATTGACACTGTTATTCCAACGGATCATATTCCCAAGCGCTTTATTCCAAATCATCACGTCATATCATTTCGTTGAGTTTACCTTGCTCATAATCCAATGGATGATAACAGATTTATGAAGAGTTCACCAAATATAATTTACCCAGGCATCTTTGAAAATCAAACAATTGAAATTCCTATAGGCAGGGTTTCAGATCTCTTCTATATTCTCTACAGTTTAAAAGTTATAAGACTAGACTTAGTATTCATAAAAATCCCCTTCAAAACTATCGATTTATTTAGAAATGGGGCAAACATGGAATGGTTGAGTTCTATTTGTTTATTTATTTAGGCATTTCTATATAGCGCATACATTAAAGCTCTAAGCGCTTTTTAATTATTAAAAACAGGTAAAAAAAATTTTTTTTGAGTGAAATATTGTATACTTGTAGAACTGAAGAGTTTTGATAATTAACTCATGACTTATTGCATCATATTTGAATTGTAAAAACACTGCGAAATACTTGTCGTAGGTCAAAGGTTATCATGCTCTTCAGCTCACTCTAATTCGCACCGATTTTTAATTTTTCACCGGAAATTTCAATAACATCTAATTGGTTGAGCGCTTTAAAAAAAAAACGAATTTGGCGCACGCAATGTATGTCTAGGGTGTTTAAAGTAAATTGAGATGGCTGGAATTAAATCGACATCACCAATAAACTTAAAATAGACAAACAAACAAAAAAAGTAATATGTAAGCGGCGAGTTCATGAACAGCACTAAGTTGAAAATGCAGACCGGTGATGCGGACGATAAGAGAGACGTTCAAGAGAATAAACCTGGAGGCGATCTCATATACGTGGTGGCCATTCTGTCGGGTCTGGTCTTGTGTCTTCTGGGGGTCGTGGTAATGCTCTTAAAAAACCCAAACGCCTTTGAGTATCTGAATTTAAACGAAACTACCCCAGAGAAGGTAAGGAGATAGTTTTGTTTGTGTTGTTTGGTGGTGTTGATGCTAGCTTATCGGCTTAAACAGTTATTTCCACACGCAATTTTAATATAATTAAATGGTTAACATATTCAATTATTCCCCACCATATTGTAACAAAATTGATCTACCAAGTAAAAACTGAGCCAATTTTTTTTTTTTTTACTGATATACACGCCGTACCAAAACACACACTGTACCGCAACCACGTAACTTACCATACCATGCTCTTTATTAAAAAAAAAAGTTAAACACTGTTTCTTAGAAACAAGCTTGAAAAACAACCATTTTTTAAAAAAAATTCCTATCGAACGTCTTGTTTTGTTTGTTTCTTTATAATTTGCCACCGAATTTATTTTTGAAACAAGAAAACAAGAAAATTAAAATAATTGCTGAAGATTTTACAAGACGAATAAGATTTTTACCAAATTGCGCCCTACCCTAGGGGGCCCGCGCCAACAACGGCCGTCGTCCCAAGCTGCAGAAACGAACCGCCGATGATGCGACCAGGCCACCACCGTGCTTAACCAAGCAATGTGTGAAGACAAGCAGCTATTTCTTAAGCAAGATGGACTTTTCCGTCAACCCTTGCGATGACTTGTATCTCTACGCTTGTGGTGGACTACACGCCAATACCAGAATCCCGAGGAAAAATCCCATTGATCTGTATTCGGAGACAGATGGTCGTTTTTTTTTTAACTTACAAAAGGTAATATTCTTTTCTTTTCCCTTTTTTAATGAAGAATAATGTGCAGTAACACTCGACGCGCAAAAAAAAAATAAAAAAAATAAAAAAATAAAAAGGCCTTGTTCTAATTTTGATGAGTGATGCGTGCATTAGTGAATGCTATTTGGATATGTAGTTTGGCTCCACCGATTGAAATAAATGGCATTTTCATATTAAAAGTATATTTAAACGTTACGTTTTAATAATTTATACATTTCATGAAAGTATTTTTTTTAATGCATAAAAAATTAAAAACGTATTAACTGTTTCAAATAAAAGGCTTAAATAATATTCAAACTTAGCGAATTTGAGCAGTTTAAAAAAGCAATCAATTATATTTATTAATGTTACATTTAAGAAGTGAGAAATACATTATTCGTTTTGTGACGTACGGTTATAAATAAAATCATAGAAACTTAGAGCTGTGACTAAAATAGTCAATCGCGGTATTATTTAGATCAAACTAATTTTATTTTTATTTCGCAATATTAACAAGGCACTCAAATACGCACTAAGAATAACAGAGGTTTGAGTTTCCACGATAAATGTGATTACGATTTAATTCTTAGATCATAATATTTTGATTAATATTTTTTTCATAACTTTAAAATGTAACATTTGGATAAAGTGCTTAAAATAATTCTTTAGTTGTTACTTCATAAGATTTTGTTGCGCATGTAAATTTATTCGATTGCCTTAAAATACTAGAAAATAACTGACTGCATGTTTGAAAGAATCCGAACGTATCAGAATGTATTCGGTTCTTTAGCGTTATGTCAGCATAGCTTATTTTTTATATAAAAATATATATCTAAAACATTGTTAATTTCTTTGCAGATTTTGTCATCCAATGATACTGAGCTGTTTGGCAAGAAATCAAGCGCTGTGGCCAAGATGAAAATGTTTTATCGAATGTGTATGGATGAGAAGGATCTGGAGGAGAAGAAGGCGTCAAGGGTGTTAGCTGTAATTTCATTTGTCTTGTTAGTAACGTCTTTATATAGTTTTCCGAAAATTGTGAAAGAAAACATCTTTAGCAGACAACTTGGGGTTAAAACATCCCTTACATGACAACCTTTGGTGAGAACATCCCAAAAATGATAACTTGTGCTAAGATTCCTTGCACGATAACTCGAGGTTAGAAAATCAATGACATGACAATTTGTGGTAAGACCGTTTATTACATGATAACTTGTGGCTAGAACATAAATTACACGATAAACTGTAATTAGATAATGTATTACGTGGCAACATGTTGTCAGATGATTTCTTACATAAAAACTTGCTGCACGGAGTTTCCCCTATACCAGTGGTTCTCAACCTTCCCAGTGCCGCGACCCTTTAATACAGTTTCTCGTGTGGTGGCGACCCCAACCCACACAATAATTTTCGTTGGTACTCCATAGCTGTTAGGATATGTGTTTTCAGATGGCCTTAGGCGACCCCTGGGAAAGGGTCGCGTGAACCCCAAATCGTGACAGAGAAAACCCAAACATCATTCGTTTTTAGTGCGTCTTTTAGTGCGTTGCTAATATTGTAAAATACATTTTTTTAATATGTTCTACATAATCACGCAAATGAAGTCATAGTGCGAATAGCCTATTTCTCCAAAACTCTTAGGTTTCTTTAAATTTAATAACCTTTCGTGACAAAACTAATAATGTATTTTCCATTCTTAAAAGAAAATTAATATATAGAATTGATTGCTTTTTAAATTGTTAATAAAATACACACACACATTTCAGCTGTGTGTATTTGAAAATTTAAAAAACTGTTGCCTTTTTTTATTCCAAAAATATACCTTACTTTATTAAAATTATAACGTAATAAAAACTAACCTTTAAATATAATTCTATTAAGAAATGCGGTTTAAGTCAATCAGTGCAACGCAACTCCATAGTTAAATAGCAGTCACTAATCCACTTGTACCTCATACAAATAAGAGCGAACCATATGAAGTGCAAATTATTTTAGTTTGGGTATGGAAGGAACTACAATCCGGTGGTAGATTTTTATAAATTTATTTAAATCTGGTTGGGGGAAGGGTTGTTTACTTTGCCACATTCAGCATAAAAATACGCCTCAAAATAAAGGAATGATTTTGATAAATAAATAATTTTCTTGGGTAACTACATGTCGAAGGTAAAAAAATAAGATGTGTACATTTTTACATGGATGACTATATAGTTATCTCCTATAATATTACATTTTTTAAAAAGAGATTTTACTTTTACATCTTCTATTTTCTAATATGGGTATGTTCATTTTGCCCAAGGCAGTACAAGATACGTCTCAAAACAAAGGAGTGATTTTGATAAATAATTAATTAATTTTCTTGCGTAAATATATTTCGGATGTAGGAAATAGGATGTGTACATTTCACTTGAATGACAAATATTTAAATCCATATGGTATTACATTTGGGAAAAGGGATGTTACATTCTCTTTTTACATATATGTTTATGTTCATTTTGCTCAAGTCAGCACAGCATACGTCTCAAAATAAAGGAATACATTTGATAAGTAATTACTTTTATTGGGTAAATACATGTCGGAGGTAGGAAATAAGACGTGTACATTTTTACGTGGATGACAACATAGTTAACTCCTGTGGTATTATATATGTGAAGAAAGAGATGTTACATTCACTTTTTACAAACATACATAGATTTATCAATTAAGAAAAGCAATGACGTTCACAAATCTTGGGCACATTTCTAGAACAATACCCATGCATATCAAAACCCAATAATTTTACACACTTGAAAAAAATTAATTTTGAAAAATAGAGATGGGTTAATATTAACTTTCAAAAAATTAAAATCAATTTTTAGTTTTTACTTGGCAAAAAGTAAAGAGATGTGTATTTTATGAGATTAACCATTTAAATTTAAAAAAAAACCCACTCAAATCTGTTATAGACGTGAATAACGGTTGCGTTATTTTTCATTACATTAAAGAATTCTTTGTTTTAAGATTTTCTAATATATTTAATTTTTAAATAAGTAATAGTCTCTCAATTAACTTCTTTAGTGACAAAATTGATAAAATTAGTGATAATTTAGACTGTGTAATTTAAGGTCATGTTTAGAGGGGGAAAAGTAGTTTAGGATCGTGAAAGGGAGTAGGGTAGGCCCATAATATATAGCTGTTAATACTTCTAAAAAAATAATGATGTTAGAAACGTAAATATCATTATACTTTTAAAATTATGAATTGTGATGATTTTTTGCAATAGCAGTTAGAAATTATCGCAAAGGATCTACCATTATAATCCCGATAACATCGGGTCATTTATTATAGTATATATATATATATTTATGCAAACTAATGTATTATTATTTTTTTAAGATGAATTCACTTGTCTGATCTTATCACAAATAGTGTGTGCACTGATCTTATCACAAAAAGTGTGTACACTCAAAAATAGTGTGTGCACTAATCTTATCACAAATAGTGTGTGCACTGATATTATGGAAAATAATGTATCCGCTGCTCGTATCACAAATATTGTGTGCACACTGATCTTTGTCATAATTAATGCATGCTCACATATCTTATCACACATGGTGTGTGCACTTATCTTATCACAAATTATATTGTGTACACACTTTCAGCTTACATTACCTTACAGCTCATCGGTGAACTCGGTTCGTGGACTTTGACCACAGACGGTACTGTTCCTTTTGACAACCCAACGTGGAGCCTGCAAACAGCGCTGACAATACTCCACAGGATGGGATTCAACATTTTATTTCGTTTAGACCTAATTCAAATGCGGGACCCAAAAACTATGGACATAGTGAATTTACCGCACGTAAGTTTTCAGCTCAGTGCACACGATTACTTCATGTAGGTCAAGCAGCTGAATGCACATCAGATCTGCATGTAGGTCAGTCAGTTGTTTGCACATAAGATCTGCATGATGGTCATTCAGTTGCCTGAACATCAGTACTTCATGTCGGTCATCAGAATGTTCTTTTAAAGATCTTAACTGAATATTTAAAATGAATTGAACTGAATATTTAAAATGAGCTGAACTGAATATTTAAACTGAACTGAATATTTAAAATGAATTGAATATTTAAAATAAATTGAATTGAATATTTAAAATGAACTGAACTGAATATTTAAAATGAACTGAACTGACTATTTGAAGTAAATAGAACTTAATAATTAAGATATATACAATCCGGCTGATCAAATGCTTAAAATGTGTACTGAAGTCATGTTGTTGTTTTTTTTTCAAGTCCTTCCATAATGTTTCAGTTGCTGCCTAACGATGAAACCGTCTTCATCCAGTTCTACAAAGCCACCACCCAGTTCCCGCAACATGTGCTGGGTGTCATTTTGAACAAGGTCCGTGCTTTGGGCGGGCAGCCCAGTGACGTTGCACCGAAAGCTCTGGAGATGATCAAATTCCTTAAAAGCCTGGTACGTGCTTGTGACCGCTTGTGACCGCTTGTGGCCGCTTGTGGCCGCTTGTGACCGCTTCTGGCCGCTTGTGACCGCTTGTGACCGCTTGTGGCCGCTTGTGACCGCTTGTGGCCGCTTGTGACCGCTTGTGACCGCTTGTGACCGCTTGTGGCCGCTTGTGGGAGTTTTATCTTTAAGCTTATAATGTAATTGCTTCACGTGGGAGAATACTCTTGGATAATGTGTTGTTTTCAATAGTAATACTATAGTCCATTGTACGCACATGAAGTTCGTTCCGGTGAAATTTAATGAGGGGCATGCTTAATTTTCGGTACTCCCTCCCATCTATTTGCTGAATTTTAAAAAAAATTTACAAAAGTATCCTAAAATTATTTTTTTTTAAACATTGGATCTATTACGAAACTTCTAAAATTAGAAGGAATTATATGAAAACAGCTAGATGAGAGACCTACATTTCCTCTATCATTTCTTTAACTCTTATC